CTGGGTTCTTCTGGGTCCTCGCTGAGTCTGGCAGGTCCCAGATTAACAGGAATATTTTAGTACTTAACAGCTCCGGTATATCTTGTAATATTTAAGGGATTAATTCTTCTTATAAAGTGAAAGTGGTTGACGTAACTCCAAACACTTTGCAGGTTAGCAGGCAACTGAACGCAGAGGTGCACACGCATATCTCACGTGATTTCCTTGTGACATAGACCGGTGACGAAATACTAATAGAACAATTATTGAACTCGGTTATCACAAAATATTGTGATTTTGTCACTGTCTCTTCAGTGACAAAATCACAATATTTCACTCAAACTCATCCAATAATTTTTATTCTTTTGAAAACNGAACAATTATTGAACTCGGTTATCACAAAATATTGTGATTTTGTCACTGTCTCTTCAGTGACAAAATCACAATATTTCACTCAAACTCATCCAATAATTTTTATTCTTTTGAAAACGCAAAAACACTTAACGGAGAAAAACGGAGATGGCCTAGCGTGACAAAACCACCTAGCTACACGTGGTATGCTTACCCCGGACCCAAAGTTGTGACCAAACTCGTGCATAACTGTTATCGTTGAAACTTTTCTGGGTACCCTGCGGCCAAAATTCAGAAAAGTCGCCAGTGCAGTGTTGAAGCTCATTAGTTGGCCTCTCTCTTGCAGGAAGACTCTCGGGGAACATATTCCTCCAAGTACTCTAGGTTCGGGCTGCGCTACCCAGGCTATTCCCAAAACTCCACCAGAGAAATCTCGGTAGGTAAACAGCAGAGATAAGCAGTAGGCGCTGTGATCTAGCTCACTCCATTTAATCAAATAATCCAAGCTACCGATGTTTTGTGGACTTTCTAAGGAGCCTAATTGAAAGGTTGGACTAGTCTTCCTGTTATATATTTGATATAAGCTCGACATTCAATCACGCATAGAAATCAAAGGCAAATAATCTTATTGTTTTAGATCAAATCTACAAGTCGTAATCAAACTTATATTATCTAAACCCTCTTGAAAGATACTAAGAAAATGGAAAGAAGCGGATGCAATTTGTTTACAACCGCACCCTGCTAGGTTACTCACTATCTAATTAATAATTAGATTATGAGCTCAAGATTTCTATTGTGCAACAGATCATGAGGGCGCAGCCTGAGTCAACTGTTACGCATACAAATCGAGAACGAATAATCTAATTGTTTTAGTATAAATCTACTAGTCATTCAAAACTTTATTGTCACTATCTAATTAACAATTAGATTATGAGCTGCAAAATCTCACTTATTACCTTCTGATTCCGCATCCTTAAACACAGTAACCGCTGCTATGACAAATCCGATATCATCTCCAGGCCCTCCATCTTGGTTGAAGTCTGTTGCCCTAAATGCTTTGTCTGTCATTGCCACGTGATACGCCATCTCTGCTACAGTGGCGCTCTCAGAACCTGAGCCCACGTGCTTGAAAAATGTGTAATCAGCAGCAATATGTAAAGTGCATGTGTTGAGGCTTGAGTTGCTGGGGTTGTCACGGCGGACTCGTTTACTGGTAGCCTGTAACAATACAATAACGTAAATAAAGTCAAGCAGCCCTGCATGAGTAGAAAGAGGGAAGTATAGAATCAATATCAACGCTTTTTCTTCCGTGGAGCTTTGAAAACCAGGCTTAAAAATACTTTCGTTTCGCAAGAAGAAATCGAGTCCCAGTTTTTGGCGGACATTTTTTTCTATATTTTAAATGCAGCAAGAGCCTAAGAGACTGGTTTCTTGTTAGCGTTCTTGTTCCAAATTATGAATGCTATAAATGCCTTGAAATAAAGATATTCACAGAGTGATCATCACCCCAGGCATGCTTCAGGAGCAAACCATACCGTAGCAGGACTCCCAGGACTAGGCGCCGAAAACCATGCATCTAACCACTCCCAAGCGCGGAGGCCGCATGGTTTCCCGCGCTTGGCACCGGTTGCATGTTCTGCATGACTTGCTCATTACGTCATTTTTGTTTCTTGTGATTGGCCCATTATAGCTTTGAGTTTTACACGTCAGTCATTTGAAAATGCTTCATAACTTCAAAGGAGAGCAGAATTACGTCGATATCAACAGATTTTCAAAGGAATAAACTCCTGTGTATACCTGAGCAATCACAGGTTGCAGATCTTGAACGCGAGCTATTTTTCTTTGAATTCCTGAGGAATTAAATTGAACACTTGAGGCACGAAAAATTATTGAATGGAAAGACGTCTTGAAGTGAAAGTATCGCTCGGCAGGCTCTAGGTGAAACGATTCACCAAATGCAAAGAAACTTCCATCAAATTTTCCCTCTAATATATGTCCAATTACGAAGGAATTAGGGTCACCTGAAAAGAGAGAAGATAGAAGAAACAAACTTGAGTTTATTAATAACGTTTTCTATTACTATTTGTTGATAGTTTGACAAATGTACATTTTGGTCTGTCGTAGTTTTCTCTACTAGTTTGGTTCTATTTTAGTGTAAACCATGAGCAAGGTTTAGTTGATACAAATCACACGTCAGTTTGTATGAAAATAATGAAAGAATGGCAAGTTTGTCTGTTACAAGTTCCTATGCTGAAACGTTTCCTACCAACACACAAACGATATTTGTAATGCTTTTTACAAACAGCTAGTGCAAAGCCACATTCTCGAGCCCAGGCTTTTTCTTCTTTAGCGAGCGCAAAATCCTGTATCAAGGAGTAAACTCAATCCCAGGTCTTTCCTTTTTTTTCTAAAACGAAATGAACCTTGTGGTGTGTTATAACCACGGCAAGTAACCTTTTGACAGATTCCAAAAATGCAGTAAGAATTAATAAGGCTGCCCATCTTAACACAACTGTCTACATGTAAATATTATGCGGTTTGAAAGTATCAACTATTTGTATCATTGGACAGAAAGCTATGCCATCTAGTAAACAAATCCTTGATATTTTTTTTTTTCAAAAGCCATAAACGCTGGCACTTCAACATCAATAGTCTCAAAACGGGCAAAATTTTACCACTCTTTATTCGATTTCCAAGATTTGCTCAGCAAGTGGTTAGTCCCCGGAGGGTGGGGGAGGGGAGAGTAATCTCCCAAAAATTTGGTAGGGTGTGCAGCCCACTTCCCAAAACCCTTACCCGATTTAAGACCAAACTCTGTGATTTTGCCTACCCTATTTAGCCTAAGAACGCAGACGTATTTCCGGCTGTCGCTTGTCTCCGCCAAAAATAACGTCTGCGAACCCGAGCCGGGAAACGNACAGATTTTCAAAGGAATAAACTCCTGTGTATACCTGAGCAATCACAGGTTGCAGATCTTGAACGCGAGCCATTTTTCTTTGAATTCCTGAGGAATTAAATTGAACATTTGAGGCAGGAAAAATTATTGAATGGAAAGGCGTCTTGAAGTGAAAGTATCGCTTGGCAGGCTCTAGATGAAACGATTCACCAAATGCAAAGAAACTTCCATCAAATTTTCCCTCTAATATATGTCCCATTACGAAGGAATTAGGGTCACCTGAAAAAGAGAAAAGATAGAAGAAACAAACTTGAGTTTATTTATTTAATAACGATTTCTACGACCAGTTGTTAATAGCTTGAAAAATGTACAGTATGTTTGGACAGTAGTAATTTTCTTTAGTAGTGTGATTTTATTTTAGTGTAAACCATGAGCAAGGTTTAGTTGATACACATCACAAGTCAGTTTTAATTTATACCTGCCAACTTTTGTTCCGTAAAATGCGTGAGATTTTTCGTCTCCACAGAACCTGAATTTCCGAAGATTTGCCGACGGCTTCCGAAGATTACCGAAGATTTCCAAAGACTTCCAAAGATTGCTAAAGATTTCCCGACGACTTCTGAACATAACCAAAGGTGTAGAAAGATTTTCGACCGCTTAACCATGACAAAGTAAACCGGAAACTTGTCAGGTCACACAATCTAAGCAAGAGTTGGTGTCGTGAACTCAACACGCGTAACGGAGTAAGCTTGAAGACGCTTTTTTGCTGGACTCACCAACTGTTTTTCGCCGAAAAAAAATGAATTTTTATTTAATCGGTTTTTCAGCAATTACACTCGCTATTGCCACGCTATTAGGCGTGAGAAATTGGTCCGAATGCGTGAGATCACAATTTTAGATCCGCAGGCGCGAGACTCACGCTTAACGCGTGAGAGTTGGCAGGTATGGTTTTATTTGTTCGTTTGTATGAAAATAATGACAGAATGGCAAGTTTGCCTGTTACGCGTTCCTATGCTGAAACGTTTCTTACCAACACACAAACGATATTTATAATGCTTTTTACAAACAGCTAGTGCAAAGCCACATTCTCGAACCCAGGCTTTTTTTCCTTTAACGAGCGCAAAAATCCTGTATCAAGGAGTAAACTCAACCCCAGGTCTTTTCCTTTTTTTTCTAAAACGAAATGAACCCTGTGGTGTGTTATAACCACGGCAGGTAACCTTTTGACAGATTCCAGAAATGCAGTAAGAATTAACAAGGCTGCCCATCATAAGACAACTGTCTACATGTAAATATTATGTGGTTGAAAGTATCAACTATTTGTATCAGTGGACAGAAAGTTATGCCATCTAGTATACAAATCCTTGATATTTTTTTTTTTCAAAAGCCATAAACGCTGGCACTTCAACATCAATAGTCTCAAAACTGACAAAATTTTACCACTCTTTATTCGATTTCCAAGATTTGCTCAGCAAGTGGTTAGTCCCCGGAGGGTGGGGGAGGGGAGAGTAATCACCGAAAAATTTGGTAGGGTGTGCAGCCCACTTCCCAAAACCCTTACCCGATTTAAGACCAAACTCTGTGATTTTGCCTACCCTATTTAGCCTAAGAACGCAGACGTATTTCCGGCTGTCGCTTGTCTCCGCCAAAAATAACGTCTGCGAACCCGAGCCGGGAAACGATTTCTGTGACGTAATGACTTTTGTTTCTCTTTGGCCAATCAGATTCCATGATAAAATGAAACTCGAGTGCTCCTGGCAGCGCATACCTTGTG